AAGTGTTTTCTAGTGATGGATGGCTGGAATTTAAAAATGTCCCTGAGGAATCAGTGCTGTTAGGAAACAATAACCGACAGTATGAAAATGCATTCTGGTTGTACAGAAGTCAAAGCTGAAATCTATGACTAAGTTCGGTTTTCTGAGTCAACCAGAGAACTGTTATTTGCTTAAAGCTGTAAAACACTGAAAGGTTAGGACTGTGATAAAATCATGTATTTTTTTAGCTGTTAAAGAGGACAGGCCTCCAGGGTCTCTGAGTAATAACTCTCACACCAAGGATTACAAAACACTGAGGCTCACTTCTGTGGTTTTATGTTGTGAGACGCTGAAGGGAAAAAAAAGGAAAACCTGCAAAGGATAAAAAAATTGACCCTCGGAGTAGGCTATTTATTAGATAAATGCAACAGTTTGATTTTTAAGACCTTCTGTCCTCTTTTCTTCCTCTCATTTAACGTATCCCTGGTCCATTTCTTCAATATCTTTGAGGTTTCTTTCTTTCCTCCTAGATTTCTTTAGAATTCCACTGCTTCAATGTTATGCTTTTTATGTCTAAATGTGTATTTGTTGTTGTGAAATGACTTAAAAGGTATTTAGAGAAAGTACTTACTATCTCCCCCTCCTTGGACTGCCACCTTATCAAGGTGGAGTGGTTTGAGTGTCCCATTGACCTTAGGAGTTATGCTGTCTGGGGGCTTTATGCCCCCAAGTAGGGTCACCCAAGGCAGACAGGTCCTAGGTGAGGGACCAGACAAAGAGCAGCCTAAAGACCTCTTATGATGAGGAAGACAAATGGACCTAGTGTTCCCTCACCCGGACGCTGGAGCCAGGCCTGGAGGTGGGGCACTCCAGATTACCGATTCTCTTCATAACTTTTATGGACAGAATTTCTGGCTCAGCCAAGGTGTTGAGGGGTTCTCTCTTGGTGGCCTTAGGATTGTATCTCTGTTATTCCCAGATGATGTGGTTCTCACATCAGCTCTCACTCGAGCGGTTCGTAGCCGAGTATGAAGCTGCCGGTATAAGGATCAGTGCCTCCAAATCCGAGACCATGGTCTTGAGCCAGAAAAGGGTAGAGTGCCTTCTCCGGGTTGGGAAGGATGTACTGCCCCTAGCGGAGGAGTTTAAGTGTCATTGGGTCTTGTTCACGAATGAGGGGAAGATGGAGCAGAAGATCGATAGGCGGATTGGTGCGGCATCTGCTGTGAAGTGTGCACTGTACTGTTACCCGTTGTGGTGAAGAGATATCTGAGCCAAAAAGCAAAGCTCTCGATTTACCAGTCGATCTACGTTCCTGCCCTCATCTATGATCATGAGCTTTGGGTCATGACCGAAAGAACGAGATCCCGGATACAACCCCCTGAAAAAAGTTTTCTCCGTAGTGGTTGGTTGTGTGACTTAGGTTTAAAAAGTGCAGCTGAGACGAATCCTTTTTCAGTCACAATGGAACATAAAGGAAATGTTGTCAAAGGATGAAATAAGGAATGCTTTCAAGAGGTTTTTCGGTGGCTTTCTAAAAAGCCATTTTAATTTATCCTCCATTATCCTCCCTTTCCTCCAGCACATACCAGGGTCTGTCACTGCCCACCGCCCAGTTTCTGCATGCGTAGATTTATGGCCGTCGAATCCGACCGTCATCCACACACAGCTCTGGTTAAACCAAAGAGTTATACTTTTTCAGTACTTTCAGACTTTTCTAAAAAAAAATGAAGCTACAAAAGTAGTCTATTATGTTAAGTTTCACCTGTGCTTTTATTGTGAAGTGCCAATAGCGGGACCATGTTGCCAAGGGTAACAGCAGGAAGGTTGAGAAGCTGCTAAATACTGTGAAACAATTATTCCGCTCATTAAATAAGATAAACATACCCGCTGTTATATTCAATGGCAGCACAGGAATGACATATTGTGTTGTACAATAACAGTATATTCTAACACATATGCAGCACTAACATCCGGTGGGATGGCAACGTCATTAGCCAAAATTAAGAATGATTCTCTCTTGAAAGCCAAATCAGCACAATGGAAAGTTTTACCAGGAAATAGCTTATTTCGGAATAATGGGGGGATAGCTGGCATCTGCATTACCCAAAAAAATTAACTTTAATATCTCTAAAACAACATTAGCATACAAGATCTTTTTTGTTTATTTATTTATTTATTCCTTTATTTATTTGTTTTCATTTTTACCAAGAATTATTTTAGCTACACAAATTTGCACCAATGACGCAAAAACCTTTCAGTCTAGTTGCTTAGTTTTTTTTATGTGTCAGGTTTACACAGCTGAAGCCCCTGCCATTTGATGAGGCGGTACAAGGTGTAAACACTGTGCATCTGAAATGCAGACCGGTGACACAGCTATTGGTTTCATTGCACCTTTAATCATTCTAGATTTCCCACATTTGTTTTTTTTTTTCTTTTTAATTTAGATCTGACCGCCCATGGACAATATCCTGCTCAGCTCTAGAATGTGTTAGAAATACTGATGTTTTATATACTCGGGGGAGGTGATGGTCTAGTGGTTAGAGCAGTGCGCCTGTGCTCTGAGAAGGTTTCAAGTACCCGGTTAGATACCCACAACCTGCACTCTGGGTCTCTGAGCAAGACCATGAATCCCACACTGCTCCCCGGGCGGCGCACAATGACAGCCCACTTCTCCTAAAGGGGATGGGTTAAATACCGAGAGTTAATTTTCTTGCTCTGTACTTGTACTTTTATCGTTCTGATGCAATAGTTTAATCTGAATTGTTGTGTTTTCATTAGCTCTAAGCAGGAAATCATCATAATTAAGAGAAACTAAGGCTAGAAAAAATTGACTATGTGTTTAATTAATCTTTATAAGGGTTTCCACTTACTAAAACACATTAAATAAATAAGATTTTAAATTACTGAATTTGGCTGCAGTTTACTCCAGGGGCTTTTTGTGAATAAATATACAAATGATAACGAATGTCCTAAATGAGATTGCCTGTTGACTTATTCGCAAACAAATAACAGCTCATTTCATTCAAATTAACATAAGCTAATCAAATTAAAACATAATCTTGTAAAGCTGATTTTCTCCCCTTTCTACCAATTTTTGCTGTTTACAGAAACCCCAAAACTTGTTTGATGAACAGCAGCATGGAGCAGGTGTTCCAGCGATGTCCAATTTGTGTCTGAAGCAAATTAAATTATCAAATGTATCTGGTACTGAATACATTTAAAAAATACATCTGCATATTTCAGGCAGTCCACTGGTTGCATTAATGGGTCTGATGGCTGAAAATATATATTTTTTCATTAATTAAGCTCTAAATTACGGAGCCCCTCTGATGACATGGTCAAAAAAAAATTTTTATTGTGGCCACGAAGTAGTATTTCGTACACACAAAGTAGTATTTCGTGGCCACGCAATAAGTATAACGTGCGCACGAAATACTACTTTGTGGCCACGCAATAAGTTTATTGTGCGCACGAAATACTATTTCGTGGCCACGCAATAAGTTTAACGTGCGCACGAAATACTTATTAATAATATTAACATCATTCCTGGACAACTGGGTAAGCAAATCGAGCGCGCCTTCTCTAAGGTCTAAGGCGCGCTCGATTTGCTTACCCAGTCGGTCTCCGCCAGTCACGTGACATTTGTTGCTAAGACGCTATTTTAGCTGGAAAAGGCGTAGTGTAAACAACCGCAGCATAGCTAAACAAAGGCCCGTTTACATAGCAGCCTGTCCAAGATAAGTAATTACAGTTAACATAAGCCTGAAAACAGGGGCGGATTTATGGATATTATTAATAAGTATTTCGTGCACACGTTAAACTTATTGCGTGGCCACGAAATAGTATTTCGTGCGCACGTTAAACTTATTGCGTGGCCACGAAGTAGTATTTCGTGCGCACGTTATACTTATTGCGTGGCAGCGAAATACTACTTCCTGCGCACGAAATACTACTTCGTGGCCACAATTAAACATTTTTTTTGACCATGTCATAAGAGGGGCTCCGTACTAAATTTAGAAGTAGATGAACAGTAAGTATGTTCCAAAGTCTGAGTTTGTCTGTGAAACATAATAATCCTATCCTAAGTAATCACCAACGCGTTCAGGATTGAAAATGGATTGATTACTCCTTAATGAAAGGTGCCATGACACTGCCAGTTAGGGATGCTTCTCATCTAACAACATGCAGCTCCACTGATTTTCTTTTTAAACCTTTTTTGATTACTTTCAAAGTGGTATGGAAATTAGGTGCGGAGGCAAATCGAAACCCATGTGCTGTTAGGAGCCCATGCATTGGTTAGATGTAGTGAGTTAATATGAATTTGATTAAAATGCTTCAGCATATATAAGGCACTGCATGCTGAAATATGCTAATAACCTTTACCTTCTGTAATAAGATCTGAACACATGAGGTTCTTGGAACACATGATGCATGGCAGCAAATAAGAAGAAAAAGATGTACGGTACAGCATGTCCAGGTCCTTGGTATCACAATAAATATAAACCTACTTTACTATTTTATTTACCAATGTAAAGGTAGGCCTTAAACAATTATACTTTTGCATTTGAAAATAAAAGGAAAGAAAAGCTCCCCTTTAATAAAAAGTAGAAACTGTTGGGAAAAAAAAAAACAATTTCTGTAATTTAGCGCGACACAAACTTGTCTGATAAGACTCATTTGTATGACAGCTGGTGTGTGCACAAAGCTTTTTCTTTGAAGCTATCTGAAGAATTTTTATCAGAAATATTTTTTTTTCACTTTAGCTCCTCAAAGAATTGAAGAAACAAAGCATTTCTACTCATTTATTTAAAACATTAAAGTGCTCCCAGTTGGATTTTATAATGTTCAGAAAGTGCCTACCTGTCAGGTGTTTGTCTGATGCAGTCAGCACCATCACCCACAGAGAACTGAACACTTGATCTGCATCCCAATGTGATGCAACACAGATGTGGCTATGCAGCTGTAAGATACATAGCTCAAAGCTGATTTTGTGGAGAATTTATATTTAACTCGCTCACCTGTGAGTTGAACCTCAGCTGGCAGACACTGCAGGACACATGCTTCCTTTTGGCTGTGGGAGGGATGCCGAGGGTGTGATGGAGGACGGCTTTCTGCACCGGGTCCATCTGGAAGACGGACACAGACAGACAGAGAGGCTAATTAAATTGGTGCTAAATCTGACCTGTAAATCCACCTGACTAGGCAGTTGCTTGCTGGGCTGTGAAGAAGAAACAGGTTGCCTGGGGCATTCTGGAATGCCAGACATCAATCTTTCATTTCAGTGGATGTATTTGGGCATTTTCACATTACTAATAGCTTACTTTTAGCACCACACAGAGTTTTTAGTGACCTTAGGGCAATTGCTGTCTTTCTTTAGTGGAAATTAATATGGTAATACTTTATGGCCTCTAATTATCTTTTGCTCTACAATTGTCTATACAGAAAGGAAAAATTGTATATTAGCTATACTTATGCAATAGTTTTTGCAACTCAACAACCTGTTCTTGAGAGCTTGAGATTCCATTTCTAAATAATGATGTAAATCTATGGCAACATGCAAATGTTTATGCTTCTCATTATTATATATATATATACACTATTATATTCTCACATTATGAGAATATAATAATATAGAATAGAGAATACATATTTTTTTATTATTCCTCTTGGGAATTTCGGTTGTGCCACTAGCAAAGGGAAAGGTAAATGAAACCATGCTTATGTGCACAATAAGAAAAATACTCTACAAAGTTACATCATGAGAAAAAAAGGCTATTTGCTCAGTGTATTAAAATCTCATTCTCTGATTAAAGAAAAGTGCTTCTTAGTTGGATAAAATAATTTAACAATATATAAATAAACTTACTTTTGTCACTCCTTTTGAATAGAATGTGTCCTGTTACATCTATTTTAAAAGGAAGTGAGTATTTGGTGTTTTAGTCTGAAGGTCAGGAACTCCTTTGCTACTTTAACACCTGGGAAACTCTATGTTTGATGGAATAAGGCATTTAAACTCTGCTAAAAAGTCCTGAAGGAGAATATGCAGCCATTAGTTTGTGACCTTAAGGTCAGACAAACGGCTGGAAAACCCACCAATGTGGCTGCATTAAAATTCTTTCTCAGAAATTTAAAGGAAAGACACCTATTGCTATTTTATGATTGCAGCATGCCACCAATGATGGAACAGTCAGACATTAGCTTTATGGAAGATGGGGTTGGATAGCTTGTTTCTCTTTAAAAATAATTTTCCTAAATTATCCTCATCGAAATAACATTAAATAAAAACAGAAACCTTAAAAAAAGGTTAATGTTCATGCATCTTACATTTTAAAATAAAAGTTCTGCTTTGAAATATAAAAACATTTGACCAAACCTACAGAAGAGAGCTCAAGATTTGAAAGGTTTTAAATATTTCAAAAAGGTTTTAAAAAAAAAAACCCACTGGACTTTGTTCTTCATGTTTGAAGACGTTTTGCATCTCATCCAGGAAGCTTTTTCAATTAAAAAAAATGTCAGAAAACGTTTTAAATAAACTTTCATATATATTTCCAGTTAGATCTCCTAAAAAAACAAAAAATTCTCCTTTCAAATTCTCATTGTGTTCATCTTGCTCTTGGCTTTTGTGTGCTCTTCAAAAATCCTTAACAGTTTATTTAGGTACGAGGAAAATATAAGGTTGTAGCTGGAGACAGCATTTAGCCAAAATACAATCTCACCTTTATTAAATTCATAAAAAAAAACTTTGGAATGTAGTTAAGGGTGGTTATAGGATTTTGGTGTTACACTGCAAAAACGATCTAGAAATAAGTAAAAATTTCTTAAGTAAAGTGTATTTACCTTTAATTTGAGGTTAATAAGATGAGCAGGTTGATAAGATGATTCGTAATGGAATGAGTATTTTTACACTTAAAACAAGATCAGTAGATAATATGCACTTGAAAGCAGACAATGCATTTATCATTTCTTATTTTAAATGTAAATTATCTTGTTCCATTAGCAAAGTTTCTCCCTTACCTCCTGTATTCAAGAAAAAATGCACTTATTTTAAGGAAAAATTGTCTCATTTAGATTTAGATTTTTTTGCACTGTACTGTAGATCCGTGCCATGCACCAATCTATTCCCCCTCTTTCTTTTTTCTGTTAAAAGTTGTGCACACTGATTTCCTTCTATTGTATCTCACCTTTCTGAATCCAGACAGTAGAGCTTAAATTCATGATTTTATTTCTATATTGTATTTCTTTCTTTTAATGTATTATATTTCTTAAATTGTACAGGTTCATTAACATTTTTCATGGAATGGTGGGAACAAGCAGAAAAAATAGAAAATATAAAATGGTCTCTTTATGGTGCGTTCCTCTTCTTATTGATCTCTCACAGGCATACTGTCTAATTCACACAAAATCATTCTTCATTTGGAAATCTTCAGGAGGTTTGCATCTAAACACATGCAAACATTCTTGCACATGCAGAGAAGATCTACCAAGAAGCTGCAAAAGATTTGCTTTTGTGTTTCATCAGGCAGTGTGTGCAAACTTTCCCCAAACAATTTAACACTTCTTATTAGGAATCTCTGAAGATCCGGCCCTTAGTGTTTTGCCAAAGTCACTGACATGTGAGACGGGGAATCTTGAATTGACATGCAACCTCCTTAACAACTGTTTGTCACTAAAAAAGTAATTCTAAAAGAAAACCTATATACTTAGCAGTATTAAATATTACATATATTTTAGAGTTGGACATTAAAATGCCTTTCCTTTATGGGGAGAAAAGTCCTGAGAAAAGCAAATTTCTCTTATTCATCTTCCAGGTGCTGCAGTCAGTGTGGCAACCATCATGCAGCGTGTCTCACCTCTAGCCCAGTCTAAACCCATATCTCACTTTTTCACTCTCTGCTCATTAATCTAGCAAAGGGGAATACAAATAGCAGACACTTTATTTTGAAGTGAAGCTCCATGATACAAAGTATAAGTGATACCAAGCTACTGCCGCAGAGGTAATAAGTGTTAGCAGGATGGACTCATTGTTCACTGACAAAAGAAGAAAAATGTCAGTCAGCAGAACACAACGAACAAAAGAGGTGCTGCGGAACAGAAAGTACATACATTCTGAGCTCCCTGCCTTTCAGAAATGCTAATTTATCTGTCTTCCTTCTGCAGTGAGGTGCCACAGTACTCTGGAAAGAACAAACAGGCCTGCCTGTCTCAGGAAAAGTCTCATAGTGACCACACAGTGGGGAAATGTGGAAAGATGTTGGCAAATCGTGGGATGATTACTGCCTTGACAACTCTTCTACACAGGGTACGACGATGTGAATCAGTTTCATGCGGTTCCCTTTCGGCTGCAAAGAACACCTCAGTTTATACTAAATCTGAATCAGCACCTCAACAAGAGAGCATAACTCCAGAGGTTTATCATTCAACATCATTTGCACATGTTGAAGACTGTCTTAGAAATGTTAATTGTGAACACGAATGAGAAAGCAATAAAACCAGACAAAACACTTTTAACAAACAGACAAAGTAATAAGTTGCAGCTGGAAGCAGAAACCTGGAACAGACTACCTCAACAATGGTGTCTGTTTGGAAATTGAGTGAATAAAGACCAGCTGGGTGGGCAGGCTATGGGGTCAGCTGATGTCTGACTAATGTTATATTACTGAGGGCAACTGGAGGCCACATCATTCAAGACCAAAAACCAAAACAATAACTCTGTATGGCTCCAGTAAAAGAAAAAAGGGAACAAATGAACACAAAATAAAATCAATAGTCTTTCATTTTGCTCATTGAAGTAAAGAAAAAGGATTTATGTGGAAATATTTTTATAGATTTCCTCTAATACATTTCACACATCACTGCAGCAAAGGCCACTATATTCTTAACAAAAACCTGTAATGTGAGCATAAAGACTGGAATAATATTTAAAAAGAAATAACTGACACCAAATCTCCACTTCTTTCTGTTCCAGCTACGCCTCGGCTGACTGCAGCATCTTGGTTCTTGAGAAAAGTTAAAAAGGAAGTTGTGGCTGCAGAGAACAATGTTTTCTTTTTATGTTTTTTTCTAACATACTGAGATGTTAGCAAGATTCATTAGCTGTAGTGGACATTAACAAACAATAAAAATGAAAATTTGTATCATTACTTTTGTATTAGCTTCTCTATACACAGCTGGCTCCTGCCAAAAGTTGGAAGGCAGTAGCGAAGAAAACTTAAGTACAAAGAGAAAAATCACATTTATATATAATGATGCACTTCCATACAGGGGGTAAATAAAACCCTTGACTAAAATTACACTTTTACCCCATTTATGAAAAACTGTTATTAGCAAAGTTGCAAGTCTACAGGATTTTTGTAATCAAAAGGTAAATTGGATTTACAGTATGCAGCACCTTTACAAATCATGGGACTCCAAAGTGTTTACACTACATTAGGTCATTGACCTATTTTCTCACAACTAATCAAAGACACTAACAAATAAAATACTACACAACTAAAACCAAATCTCATTTTAAAAAAAATATTTTTTACATCTAAACTGATGCTTGCATTGATAAAACTGCTAAGCAGTAAGTTTAAGAAGTAGCAGCAACGATTACTGTTTAATTCAACAGGCAAAGAGGCTTGTGAAAATATTTTTGCACATGTGGATAATGCTGGAGTTCATTGTTTTGATATACTGCACAAATTATACTGATGCTAACATTTGTAGGTCTTCCCCTGAGTCACAGGTGAACAAAACAACAAGGCATGCAATTATAGACTAGTTGAATCAGGTGGGAAAAAAAACCCAAAGTATCACAATCTATTACAAGAATAACATTCAATAAATAATAAAATATAATATAAACATTGTGCTGCCATATGAAGGAAATGAGCAGAATTATACAGTATGTAGTAAAAACACACTGAAAGACTGAGAAAGACTATTTTCTTCGCTCTTTAATGTCCCTCCAGCATTGCAGCACCTAATTTAGCTACTGTTGACTAGGAGACATGAGCAGAGTGGCTGTTATATTTTTAGAGGAAAGGTTTACAATGAAATGATTAAGAGTTGAATATTATAGCTGAATATTAATCGTGCTTATCTTTGAGCTAACGTGTCCATTATGGCACTGCAAGCTCCAATATGGAAGATT